TTATGTAAGGACACCCTATACTGAAGCTGACATCTGTTACTCCACAGAGTCACGGTAACAGCAGCTGCAGGAACAATGTACCCCACAAACCTCCTCCCACAGATCTCTTGAAAGGAAACCCTGTCATGCATTTGTCCACTCAGTATCTGAGCCCTTTATTTATTTCGGGTCATTCCCCACCGCATGAGACAGCCTGACTCCCACTGTTGGAGGTGAGATTGCTGGACAGTCGCTTTTTCTGTTCCGCTTACTGCCGAGGCACCGGCACACAACTCGGTTCTGCCCGCTCAGCCCGGATTGGAGGCTAGCGGTGTGCAAAAGCAGGGGCCTCGTGGGGTCTACTCGGCAAGGGCAGCTACATCCAGATCGCGCAGGCAGGAGGAGCAGTGGCTGTGGAAGGCATCCATTATGCCCTCTTCGTGGCATCGGCGGAATCAGCGCCAATGTCAGTGCCCCAGGGGCGGGGGCTTGGGGTCGCGTGGACATGACCTTGGGCATCGTTTCTGCTGCAAGCCTGATTTTGGAGCCCTTCCCAGAGAGTCTAAGAGCTGCCTGATATGCACCCCTTTGAAACAAGCGAACAATGAACAAATGAGTTCCTTTTCTGCCTAATCAGCTAAATTCAATTTCCATTGTTTGCAGCCTAAGCATTGCAGTGGACACAAGCCCTCCCTCCATCTGATGATCTGACCCGCAAGTGGTCCCCGTTGATTGTATGTTTTAGACTTCTTAGGACACACATGCTTTTAAGTATTTGGCTTTATGGACCCACAAAGACATGCACATTGTGTGAAATACGTTATAATTTTTCATTCAGAAAATGTGATCATTGAAGCCAATGAGACGCATTGTGTATTTTAAGGTGCCTGTGGGCTGAGAGCCTCCACATGTGGAAATGGGCCGTGTCCGCTGGCCTACCATCATCAGGGCTGCACTGAGCCCACTCCCTGTTGTCATAATGCCACCTCCCTGACTGACCTCTGCTCCTGGGCTTGGAGCTGCTTGTGCGCCTGACACCCACACCACACACATCTGGTTCTGCTTTGGGAGGGATTGTGGCTCCTTCTGAAATAGGTTTCCCCACACCTTCCCATGCAAACTGCCATCGCCGGCCCTCGTATCTGACTCAGACCTACCCCCAGAACTGCCGACAAAGCCTGGCGTGGGTGACATGCATCTGCTATCATCCCAGCCTGCCTTCAGAGTCTTAGTTTGCTAAGACCCATGGCTCTTGTGACACATGTTGGAGGAACGGGATAATTGGGGTAGAGTGTTCTCTGCTGATGGGTTTTAAGAGGGTTCAAGACTAACCCCACCTGCTTTCCAGTGCTTTTGCTTATGTAGGTAGGTCTTGTTATCTCCTCTTGGGACTCTGACCCATTTCCTGTTATTTCTTAAACTGGGCCAAGTGTAATTCTTTTCTTTCTCCTCTAAGTGTAGTTGGCAACCCAGACACAAGGGTGGAGCAGCTCATTTATGGTTAGTGTTTGCAAGTTGCAAGTCCTGTTGGAGCCCAGCATGATAGCAGGGGATGCTTGGTGCCATTGTCCCGTCAGCCTTCCTGGACTGCCCCGCGCAGCCATGACTTGGTTCAGTCTCTGCGTCAAACCACATGTGGGCTCTGTCCCAGGCATGTTTCCAGGAAGGATCACTAGTCTGGAAACTCAGGCTGCCATGGGATCGAGCCATGTGCTGGCTCCCTTTGGGCACAACATGGTGGCCTGGGCCAACCCGAGGCTTGGCTGGTGGTGGGACACGCCATGTCTGCCCGCTTCCATCTGTCTGTTGAGGTGGAGGACTTTCTGGGAGGGTTTGAGAAGGTCTGCACAGGATGAATCTCCTGATGACACACTGTGGGTGTGGACCCGGCCCCGGAGTGCTCGACTGACTGGGTGGCTGAGCTAGTGACTGACGGAGTGCATCCGGCTCCCAGCGAGAGGGTGCTCAGGCTGCTCTTGCAGCTTCTGGCCACCCAGACCTCACCATGCCTCCTCTCCTGAAAAACGAGGAGTCACTTTGTCCAAACACTTCATTCGCGCTTATATCAATCTGCTCACGTGTTCTCAAATCAACTGTCTTTTAAATGGCTAAGGCAAAAGGCATGTTTGTATTATTTCCACTGAACTCCATAGCAAGTACCTTGAGAGCGTTACATGCATTCTTTCATACACTAAACGCACCAACTATTGACATTATCTGGCTCAGAGTTTGGCACACAGTAAAAATTTGTGGAGTGGTTTAGCTGTGCTCATAGAGAGAGAAGACCATGGTCTGCCTTTTCTTCCTGCTTTCCCTGTACGATCCAGCCTTCTGCCTGTCTTTTCATGGCTTAACTTAGACAGGGTCTATGAACTTTGAGGAGAAAACACTCTATCTTTATTTTTCAACTGAAGCTCAGCATTCCCTTTGATTATGAAGGTGATGAAGTACCATAGTATCAGCACCCCTGAGGCTTTGTCACCAACTGAAATCACAGATATTTTTATACCGCATTACAGTTAGTGCAAATACTTCAGAATAACATTTATGCTACTCAGTAGTCTAAAATGACTGCAGTAAGACTTGTGGCTAGCTTTTATTTATTGCATTAGTAAAGAAACGTGTGTGTGTGTGTGTGTATGCTATATAAAATGTATGTATTCTATATTTTGGTAACTGTATTTCAATGTGTTTGATTTCCTTTGGAACCCTATATATTTTATTTCATACCTTTAAAAACATTTTGAGAAGAGGTCCATAGCTTCACCAGACTTCTGAAAGGGTTCACAGTACACAAAGGTCAAGACTTCCTGGCTATACCTTGCCTTCTGACACCTTGATTTTTGGTTAGTGTCAAATGGAGCTGGGGGCTGAAGAAAGCAGGGTGGGAGAAAATGGGCGTGGCTTGAAGCCCTTCCTGTTTCAGAGAAGGCGCTGATGGTGGGAGGTGAGATGCTGCCCACTAGTGGCTGGAAGACAGAACCGGGAGAGGCCTGTAAGGCGGGCTCTCAGATGGGGGGCTTGGGATGTTGATCAACTTCCTTGGTACGTGTGTCTGAAATAAGAGAATAAAGGCACGTGGGTGGTTTTACCCTGCTTACATATCCACATCGCCTGAAACGCTCTCCCTTGTTTTGTTGCCGCCATTTTCGCCGTCTTTCATTTTCACCATCTCGGAAGCTTCCTCCTGCATTATGGAGTTCATCCGTGCTTTGACCTTGGCCTGGGCCGTCCCTCCCATCTCATCATCTAGATACCTGTGCTCTCCCTCCGGGTCTGAGTATCCAGCCCCGAACCTCCAGTCTAGGTCAGGCTCCTTGGGAATCCTCCCTTAGGTCTGTGCGCTCTCCATCGCAGCCCTTTCTGTTTTAAGTGCATGATCCTTAAGGGATTATTTTGTTCAGGGCTTGTCCCTCCACTGGACTATAAATCCCCCAAAGGCAGGGGCTGCCTGCATTTGTTCTCTGCAGTATCCCCAATGCCTGTCCAAGGGCACTCAGTAAACATGTATTGATAGAGAGTAAATTTTTATTGGAAAATTTGTGAAGGGACTGTAAATGCTAGCAGAATGGATTTAGTTCCACCAAAAATAAAGTCAGATGGCCCCCCTCCACTTATGATCCCCCATCTACCTCTGAGCCTCCTCTGTACCCTCGTAAGCCTGCTTACAGCAGGAACACGGAGATCTTCAAGCTAACACAGTAGAAACAGCATAGCAAAACTGAAGAGCTGTGGGTCAGATCCTGGCCTTGAGCTTCTTTCCTGGGTGACCCCAGCCTCTTTGTACCTCAGTTTTCCCATCTGTAAAATAGTTAAAACAATAGTACCTATGGCATAAAATGCCAGAAATACCAGTGAGGTAAAATGAATAAAGTACCTAGCACATATTAATTACTGACCCCCGGGTGCCTAAAGGAAGAGAGCCCAGCTGCATGGCCAGATGGTTCCCTCTTGCTGCCGTCTTGAGCTGCCCTGGGTTGAGGAACCACGGAAGCCCTGCCTCAGGGCTGGGCTGTCTCTGGATTCTTCCCTCTGCTCTGTCTTGGTCGGGATGTTTATGGGAGCTGCTAAGAAGCCAAGCTGAGAGGCAGAGGATTCTTCCTTGTTCTTGGCTAGATCCCTGCCTATGTGTCTGCGTCTCTACCTCCTTCACGTGGCATCTCTCTGAGCTCGAGCACCGAGGCAGATGTGCTGAACTTCGTGTCCTTGAAGGGAGGCCAGTGGTTAAAGTTATGATTTCCTTCTGATCTTTTTTATACTCCCATTCCTTCCTAACTCTTGTTCCAGAGAATTATAATCAAATTAGTTTACCCTTGGCTTAAGATGGACATAACGTCTGTAACATGTTTGGCACAGAATTTCACAGACTATATTAGTGAATATATCTGGTAAATAATATATTCAGTTCAATAAGTACAGTTGTGGTTGTTTCCCTATTAAAAAATAGAGGGTTGTCCCATAATGCCTAAGGCTTGTCTGCCCTCATAACGTATATAACATTTGTGAGCACATGGCACTTAAAGACTTTCCTGACATGTGCACTCAGAGGTTGACTGAAAGAACCAAGGGGCTGAATGCTTATTTTCCTCTTCAGGCCTAAATGGGCTTTGAAGTTTGACCGCCCTCAGTTCTGCACAGTTGCCACTAGAGGGCAGGAGCAGTTAAGACAACAGCACTCGGGCCCTGCCAGACCCGGAATTACTGGGTCGGCGGGGGAGTCCGGTTGAAGAAGAGAAATGTTAGGATGACGGGAAAAAACCCAGTTGTTCTTTATCTCTTGGAGACTAAATGTTAGAAAATATGTAGCTAGTGGGATTGAAATTAGACTTAAAGGAGATTTTTCAGAGCAGTTTGCTTCCTAGAGTTTTTTTACTGTGACTTTTTTTTTAACCCCTTACTTACATCTACCCAAGCAGAATAGAGGAGGAAGTGGACTCTTCTCAGCCAAGGCCTATGTGACCCCCCGCGGTCTCTTCAAGTAACTCATCTGTGTCTGCCTTAAATGACTACATTCTCCCAGATGCAATCATAAAATAACTTTATTGGTCAGGTTAGCCACCACTCATGCTCTTCCTGTAATAAAGATCCTTTATAGAGGCATGATGGTGTTCACATGCAGATGCTTCCCGAAGAGCCCTGGGGCAGGGGGCAGCCTTGCCCCTCACCTCAGAGCTCCTTTGTTGCAATGAGCTGGTTTGGCTTTTGTGGGTTTCAGGGTCTGGAGCAGGAGCGGAGTCCAAGGATCCCACCCCCCACCTCACTCCTTCACTGCTCAGGGAAGCTGCTAAAAAGCAAGCACCATACTGGGGATGTAGTGGCATCTGGGCAGGGACCAGACTAGGGCTAGCTCTCCTTCAGCAGCCCCTGCCCCTGGCTGCCCAGATGGGTCCATCCCAGTAGTGCCCAAAAAAGCAGCAGGGTTGGGCCCTGGGCAATATTCCCTTTGAGAAATGGAAAGAATTAATTGCTCTCCAGCCAAGCTATAAAGCAGCAGGCGCATTCAGAAAGGAGCGTATAGCTCAGAGATGCGAAAGCAGAGAGTTTCGTGCTCAGTACAGGCAAAAACTGGTTGCTTAGCCTGGGCTTTACGGAGCCAGTGAGTATCTCCAGACAGAGCTTTTACTGTTAACTGTGTGGCCTTGGGACAAATCAATTAATCCAGAGGAACCACAGCCTCTTCCTTTGGACGAGCAGGCTAGTTCAGGGCCGGTGGGGGTCTGTGTCTCCCATCAGGGTGCAGACCCTCCTGCTTAGATAAGAGGAGAATAAACTACCTTCCTCATGCTTTGAGACCCATGTGGCCTCTGCCTGTGAGGGCAAAGACCCAAGTAGGATGCTGCTGGGAACGCAGAGAGCTCTGGGTGAGGCTGCTTCCTCAGGTCAGCCCATCAGAGTGTGTTTGCCCCGTGATGGATGCTGACGACAAGCAGAGTCTGGCCTTTCCTGTTTTGAAGTCTGATCCACCTTCAAAGAACTGCTCAGCTGCTAAAACATAGTACCATAGATTTATCTAAGCCCAAGGCTGGTTGCCTCCTCTCACATCGGGCCCTGAATATTGTCATCATACCAGTGACCCTCAAGTCTGGTGGCTTTCAAGGAGAGAGGGAGGCAAAGAGCTGACTCCCGGTTTCCTTCCAGCCTCAGACCCAAGTGTGAGTTCTCTGCACAGGCTACTGGGCACATGCCCACATGCCTTGGCATCCCCTGCCTCTGCCTAAGGCACTGAAGAGGTGTCTGTGGATCAAGGTTGAGTGGATGAGGTGGATTTAGGACGCAGTTGGGCAAGAGGTATATTCTGAGGAGCAGTGAGTGGGAGCCCACAGTAACCACATGACCAGCCTCGTCCGTGGGGAGCTGCCAGGCGCTGCTCAGAGTCAGGGGTTGTTGGGAGAGTATGGCTGTGTACTGTTGCCCCAGCAACTCCTACATTCATGACACCAGATCACCGGGAAGAACTTGAGGACAGTGAGATTTCTGGGGTTGGGACTTCCAGGGACTGCTCCCTCTGCCACCACTCCTGTCCTGGAAAGAGAGCGTTAGCCGCATCCATCAGCAGAAGGCTGCCTGTCCCCGGACCCCGCCTTGGCCTGCCTCCAGGGAAGACGACTACAGAGAGAGCCTTGGGGTCCTGTCACATGGCCTGTCCCAGACCTTCCAGCAAAAGCCAAACCAAACCGTCAAGCCAGATGCAGTGGGGGCGGGGGCTCTCGCCCCTGCCCAGTGCCAGGCTGCTCAGATCTCGATGAGGCTGGCAAGGCGCAGGCAGAGGGGTGCATCGGCCGGCACTGCGCTGCGCTTGATCTCGTTCCCGTCCAGGCGCAGCACCTGCAGCTTGGAGAAGTTCATGACGTCCACCACCGTGCAGAAGCTGCTGATGGAGAACTCTGTGGGGACAGGAGGGACGGGGTGGGCGGGAGAAGTCCGGATCAGGGACCCGGACCCACAGTGGGGCCAGTCAGCCTCTGTGAAGCTGCTTAAATACGTTCCAGCGATGGAACTGGGCTGGGTGGAGCAGGCATTTTCCAGGATCAGTGTCATACCGGTTTGCACCACTAGGGGGCAGAATTAGGGACGGAGAGGGGCCTCTGCCTGCATCGGCAGCTTCATCTCCTTACTCTGCGGTTCATAGACTGTCCCTTGACTTTCCTCCCAGCCAGGACCCCATCTTTTCCCGTCTGTGGGCAGCAGGGGGAAGCAGAAGATAATCAAGACCATCCCTAGCAGCTCTGAAGTGCTTGACTGCTTTTGGAGAGGGAGGGCTTTGCTGAATCGCTAGGAGAAGGGAGGCTGGGAAATGGAGGGACTTAGGTGTGGAATGTATTTCCTGACACTTTGCGGACAGCAGAAGTGGCAGGAAATTAGAGAAAGAGCCTGGGCCCAGAGACAAGTGCGTGTGGGTGCCCAGCTTTGAAGGGGCAGGCACGTCTCCTTTCCCAGGACTGCCAAGGGGTGAGCAAGGCCCCGAGGCTCCAGGACACAGAAACTCACGGATGAATGAGGCTGCTCCGGACCCCAAAAGTCAAATGAGTGCGTCCCCTCCCTTCTGCATTTCATAGGACACATTTTACCCCCATGTTTTTAATCTCAAAACAAGTTGCCTTTTTTGAGAGATCCCACCACCACCACCACCAAGACCATGAAATCCTACTAGATACAATGGTTCCATTGGCTTATAACACAAGTCCCCCTGTCACCATTCTCTGTTCTCCTGGCTGTCCTCTTGGACAAACCAGCCACCTCTGGCTCAAGTCTACTGGGTCAGGAACCTGAAGGGGAAAACCAAGAACTCAGCCCAAACTCCGGCAGGGACAGAAAAAGTCACCACTACAAAGGGCTTTGGTGAAGCCACCCACCAGTGGGTCTCCTGGGCAGATGGGGGCCTTGGTCTCCACCCTGCTTGGTCAGGAGTGTGTGTGAGCCCTGACCGGCAGGATGTGGATGAAGGCTTTGTGGCTTTCCTCCCTGGGGCGACCCTGGAAGCTGCCAAGGAGGGAGAGGTTATGGGTGTGAAAATGCAGGTTGCAAGAAGGACGGTATCAAGAGTTTCCAAAGGCTGATTAGAAGGTTTTGACATTAGCACCAGCAGTTGTTTTCAGTGTCTGACCAAGAGGAACCGGGGCCAGGCTGCAGCCCATTCACTTGCACTGCAAAGGGAAGAAAGACTGATAACCAGCCCCCCAAAGTAACGAGGCGCCAGACAGAGTGGAGGAGAGGGGGATACCCTTCTTTGGAGAGCCCTCAAGGTGGGGTGGGGGAGATCTGGAATGCTTCGGGGTGTTTCCTTTGTGGTCCCAGTGAGTAGAGTGAGTGGCCTCGAGGGTGAGGTTGGAGGCAGAGCCTCCACCAGGGGCTGAGTGTGTGATGTCTGCATGGAAGGGGTGGAGTGGGGTGAGCTGGGAGAAGTAAGGTGGGCCAGCTTGAATATCACCTCCGCCTCCCCTGGGGACTGTGCTAGAGGCTGCCTGACACATTCTCTACCCAAGCCGGGGGCCCTGAAACCATCTGCTAAAATCCTGGATCTCAAGTGTGCATACATAAATATGGGGGATTCTTAGGGGCTGTCAGATGTGCACTGTGAGGTCCAGCCCCCCGTTTGTCCTCCCTAAGCTCAGGAATAAGACAGGGCTTCTGCTTGGATATTCTAGGGGACATTTTCCAGCCCGGATTAAATACTGACATAAGTCTTTCCAAATTCCTCCTGCTGAACCCTCCCCGCTCCACTGGATCCCACAGCTACTGAATAATATTCCGAGCTGTGTTCCCTTGCTGTTGCCAGGCTGGAAAAATTGAGGGAGAAGCTGATGGAAGGAAGAAGGGGGAGGGAGAGGCTGGGGCCGGATCTGCCCACACACCCTTTAGTTCCTGTCCTTTTCTCTGCTTCACCCTCAGAGACGTGCTTCTAGCCCACCTTCTCCAGCCCCCAGGCCTCCAAGCCCACGACTGGCTGTGCGGGGAGACGTCCCCCACACATTCTAGGAGAGGAGACTGAGCTTGGGAAACTGTCTCTGCTGCTGCTGGACTGAATCAGAGAGATATTGCTCATGTTCTCAGCCAGAGATGCCGGCTCTGGGTCCTTGGCTGCAGGAGGCAGGTGCTCACAGTTCTATGCCGTGTAGTCTGGGTGACCTAAAGACATCGCTTTTCTTTTCCTGTGTCTCAGTTTCCCCATCTTTGCAATACAAAAACCAGAACCAAACCAAACCCTGCCTGTCAACTCCAAAATGGCAATGAGAAGAAAAGCTAGTGAGAGCTCTTGTCATGGGTTCCCTTTTCAACTGCCAGGCCATGGACCAAGCACTTTACATGGGTTAAGTCACCAAGTTAAGAAAAACCGAGTTGAGGAATTGGTGTTTTTTGCCTACAAAGAAGACTGGGAGAGAGACTAAATGATAACTAGATAAAGGGGATTTGGCTTAAATTACACAAGAAGGGATTTGAGATAGACACTAAACATGTTTAGGTTGTTTGATTTAGGGGAGAACTTTCTTGCCAGACTCAGGGCACTTTACTGAAGTGATGTGTCTTCTGCAGAGCGTTTGGAAGTGGCGGACCACCTGTGTTTGAGCAGCAGCTATGGTTCTGGGTGAAGGCCAAGCTGTGACAAGATGCTGTGATAAACCCTTTCCCATCGTAGGTTCTCTTGTTGGGTGGTTAGGCAGTCACTAATGGGTTCTTTCCTGCGACAGCTGCTCTTTGCTGTCACACTTTCAGGGTCAAACACAGCATATAAAATGACATTTCTGATGTGACAGTCCTCCTGGATTCTGAGTGGTTGGCAGTTAAGTAGTGGTGCCTTCTGGGTGGGATGATGGACAGCCACAAGTAACCGCGAAACACTCTGCAGCATTGAGCCATCTTAGAGAACTGCCTCCCTTGGGAATAAGAATACCCCAAAGACAAAGAGCCTTCCGATATGAAATGGTATGGACTGCCCAGGATGGTGTCTTACACTTCAGCCTAGAGGACCAGCCACCTCACTGTCAACCTCTGGGACAGGGGTGTCTCCCACTCTGAGGGCTGTCCAGCCCGCTAACGTCTTGCCAACTGACCGATCTCTGTCCCTATCAGCACTTTGATGATGCTGTTTGCTCTCAGCAAGCTCCACTCCAGAGCCCTTTGCCAATGGTCCTGAATGAGTTCCTCTTTCCCTGGGGAGAGGGGGACTTTGCTGACAAAGGAGGGGAGGTTAAGCACTGGCTCAGGACCTTCCAGCTGGGATTAAGTCATCAGAGGCCCCAGGGTAATGTAAACACATTCTGCACACAGGATCCTGAGAGGGGGCTTAAAAGCAACTAGGGGATCCAATCTGAGATGCGTATTTTAGTTCTTAGAGGCACAGAGGCAGCCCTTCTGGTTTCTGTACAAATTTGTTGGGAAGTGCTTGCCCCATGTCCTTGCCCCCGCACCCCCACCCCAGGCTTTGTCGTGATCTGGCTAATGTTACCCTACCTATGGGGACCTCCGCCCCCGGCCAGGTGCTCCTTGCACTCTAAGGAGAACCGAGCAGAACAAGTGCTGCATTCAGCTCCGAGAGGCTGCACATTTTTGCCCAACAGCTGTTAGGTTTGAAAAACAAATAAACACTCAAACACAGGACGAGGCTGTAGAGGCGGGATGGGTCCTGTGGAATCAGAGTGCATCCCCTTCTGGGCCAGTGAGTAAGAACAGGTGCTATGGTTTCTCAGCATCCACTGTCCTCCCAAGATGGACCCTAGAAGTTCAACTTAAATCCCCCTCTCTCTGAACTGCTTTCTCCCGAACCTCTGCCAACTGTTCTCACTGTTCCTCAACACATGACCCCTTCTTCTCAGGCACACGAATTTCCTGGCTGTCCCCTCCAGGTGGCCTGTTAAATGACTGCTTTGTTCGTGGCAGTGCCACTTCCCAGAATGGCTTTGTCCCTTGTTCCTCCAGGCCCTGCTCACTTATCTGTCAAGACCTAGATTGAAACTGACCTCCCCTGGGAAGTCTTGTCCGTCCCAGCACACTCCCCACTGACTCCTCCAGCGTGGCTGTTTTGTCTAAAAGCATGCCATTTTGTACCTCTCGTACAGGGGTATGGCTTGCTTTCCTGGCTGTGCACGTTGGTTCCCCTATTTTTATTTCTTTTGTGTTGTCAAACTAAAATAGGGTCTTTGCTATGACACAGGCAGCCACCCCCGTGCCCCTCTGCCAAGGTCTCACCATTGATCCTATTCCCTTGGAGGTAGAGGTTCTCCAGGTTGGTGCTGACTGGGGGGATCTTCTGCAGCTGGTTATAGGAGAGGTCAAGCTCAAGGAGGCTGCTGGAGTTGAAGGTGTTGGAGGCCAGCCCATTGTTGGTGAGGCTATTGTGGGACAGTCGCACATACAGCAGCTTGGGCGATCCCCGGAAGTAGCTGTCAGGGACTGAATAGACGTTGTTGTGCTCCAGGTACAGCTGCTCAAGGGCTATGGGCAGCCCATCTGGCACCTTCCGGAGGTGGTTGTAACTCAGGTCCAGCAAGATCAGTGACCTGAGGCCCCTCATCGCACTGCCCACTTCCTGGATGTCATTGTGTTGGAGGTACAAGGCCGTGAGGTTGTCCAGCCCCTCCAGAGCATTGCTGGGCACCTTCGCGATCTGGTTGTGGTCGAGATGGAGCTCCCGCAGGGACCGAGGCAGTGGGCCAGGCATGCGCGTCAGGTTGTTGTGGTCCAGGTACAGCCTCTCCAGGTGCCTCAGCTTGGAGAAGATCTTTTTGCCCACCTTATCGCTGGTGATCTGGTTGCCATGGAGAGCAATCCAGAGCAGCCCCGTGGCGTTGTCGAAGACGCCTTCCTGGATGGAGGAGATCTGGTTGTTCTGGAAGTAGACATACTTCATGCGGGAGGGGACGAAGGGCAGGTACTTGAGGTTGCGGTTGTCACAGTACATGGCTGTGGGGAAGTTGGGTGGGCAGTCGCATTCCTGGGGGCAGTCACGGGGCTCCGGTGGTGGCGGAGAGCCGTAGGCATAGGCCGGACCTTCCTCCACCCCATAGGGGTAAGGCTCATAGGGCTCATAAGGGTAGGGGTCATAGGGGTCGTAGTAGGTGGACTGCTGGCTGCGGAGGTAGTGGAACCACCAGTGGGGGTCTTCGTCATACTGGGCCCGGGAGACGGAGCAGAGCCCTGCCAGCAGCAGGAGGGAGGCCCACTGCATTTTGTCTGTCTGCAGGAAGGGAGGGAGAACAGAGCAAGTGGGCTCAAGTGAGACTCTAAGGAGGCAGGGAGGCAGGCGAGGGGAGCCTTAGGCCTTGAGCTACGCACATCTGGCTTCTGCATCAAATGGCTGAGGGCAGGAGCCTGGCTCTCGCTTCCTCTGTGCCCTCTCCCAGTGCCAGCTCTGCACACTCGGTCCAGCTGGCCCTGGCTGTCCGGGGAGCTAGGTCCGTTTTCCCTGGTCACAGAGTCACAGAAGCAGCCTTTGGGATAGAAGGAACTGGAATGGGGGATACTGCATTTTTTTGGAGGGGCAGGTCCTCGGGGGCCTCCAGCAACCTGAAGTTTCTGTTGGGGAGGCTGGAAAGCCACAGCAATCCCTGTTGGGAGGCTGGGGGTGCTGGGTGCCTCTCAGGCCTGAATTCACATCCAGCTTGGACTCCCCAGGGAAATAATATTTTCCAAGAGTCCAAGCAAAAAGCCCTCTGGCTCTTGCATGTCTCTGGGAAACCTCCAGAAGTGGCTGGAGACCTCAAAGGGGAAGATTTGAACTGCTTCTAAAAGCGCCTCTGGTCTCTTGGGCAGGCTAGAGGCTCTTCCTGGTTTGAGTCTTTGGGGAGGGGTGTGGTCCCTCTGCAGCCGCCATAAGGCTTGGGCTACCCCCTCCAGAGGGCCAGAGCCTGTCACGGGCTGCCGGCCAAGAAAACCCTCTGGTTAGCAGTTTGTGGCGTACGTGCAACTTGACTGGTCTTCATAACAGTTACAGGTCCCCTGCAGCCTGGGGGTGCTGACGCCCAGGTGTGGCACCTGTCCTCTGGAGTGGGCCCTTTGGCTGTCCCCTGGGATATCTGTGCAGTGCTGCCTCTCCTTACGCTCCACCCAGGGCATCCCGTGGAGCCAGAACCAAGGGAGGGACACTGAGCACCAGGGTAGGAACTCACGCTCGCTTGTGACGTGGTGCTCGAGGGGTACTCTGGCATCTCCCATCCCAAGCTACCTATGATGACACCTGGGTTACTGGTCTCTGGTAATTACTGTGTTCCTTCCACATTGCCAGGCAGCCTGTTGCCTTTGAGCTTGGATGCTAGTGAGATGAGAATGGGGCAGGCTTGTGGAGAGAGAGACACGGTTTGGGGGTCATCTGGGAGGGAAGCCAAAGATACGGAGCATAAGGCATGATGGGTGGCCTATCAGGCCTGGGCATCTGACCCAGACACCTATAGCCATTGTACTGCGTGGCCCTTGTGAGCAACGGGTACCTTCCAGAGGTGCGAGCATCACCCTTGGACAGAGAAACCTGAGAACCTTTCTTGGTTCTGGGAGTCACATACCCTGATGGTGCTGTGGACCCTGCTGGGGTTGGCAACTGTGGACAGGAGAAAGGAAGAGTCCAGAATGCACCATCAAATCCAATACACTGATGAGAAGAACGCTGACTGTGACACTCAACCTAGTCACATTCTGGCCACCCTCCCACTGAGGCCCCAGGTGTCTCTGTGCCGTGAAAGTGGTTCCCTCAGGTCCCCTTCATTCCATTGGCCTCTGGGCTGCAGAGGAGAGGCACTCTGTCTCATCAGGCGGCCTCAGGCCTCAGACAAAGAGCCTACAGTGTTCCTGAGAGGCCAGTTCAACTGCCCGCCGGCCGGGCACGCTGGCTGGGCCTGGCTCTGGCCAGGAGAGCAGGCGGGTGGAGCGGCCCAATGCCAGCAGCACATTTTTCCATGCACAGCCCTGGGCTGCTAAGGCCCAAGGTGGCTGTCTGGAGGCTGGCACAGTGAGCCTCTGTGTCCATTTCTCCTTCCAGACTGGGCACCTTGGCAGACAAGAGCCACCATCCGCTTCAAGACTCTGCTTTCCAGGGGCTGCTCCTCCTGCTCACGTTGGCCTCTGCTTAGGCATCACTGCTTGAAAGGGTTTGGTGGGGACTTTATGAACCCCACCCCCATCTCTTAGCAATGTTGCTCCAGGATCGTGTATTCTTAAATGTCCCTGACCCCCGGGGTTAGAGACACCCCCCCCCAACCCCGGCACTGTGCTCAGAGTTTTGTGGGGGGAAGGTTTTAGGACTGGCACCCTGGGAGCGCGTACTCAGGAGTTCTGCGGTCCTTTCAGTTCTCCACTCGAGGAACCATCCCTCCCTCCTCTCAGGGTTGAGGAGGTCAAACCAGGAGGGAGCCCCCCTAACGTGGACGGGACCCCTCACAGCTCCCCGCACTTGGTCCGTGCTCCACGCTTCTCACCGAGCAGCACAGACACACAGACACTCACGCAAGCTACACAACCACCCCCCGACACACACGCCCCCACCACGGCATTGGGGGACGGCAGTCCATGGCTAGGAGAGACCGTAGGCACACGGCTAGGCTGGGGGGGTTATAAGCAGGAGGCAGACCTGGCTTTCCTGGGCACCTGGTCCCCCATTTCCATGCCGGGGCGTTGGAGGAGCCCAGCAGCAAGGAGGGAGCTGGAGGGTCGGAGCCCCTTCTCCGACTCCCCCTGTGCCGCCCCCCGGCCTCCCGGGGGCCTGGCCCTGCCTGCTCCTCCCCACTCCGGCCCCTTTCTTCTGTGTCCTTTGTGAAGCCACCAGGGACAGAAACTGAAGCAAAGTGACTGAACTTACCTGGAGCTGATCCTTTCGGAGAGTGAGCGCGTCCGTCTGTCCGGCCTCCTGGGGCTGGAGGACTTGGGTGGGGGGGAGAGGGGCAAGGGTGTCTACTGAGGGTGTGCGGGTCTGTGCCAGGCCGGCGGCCCGCCCCCGAATTCCTCACCAAATATCGTGAAGAGAGGGGGCTGAGGAGCCGTCGCCTGGCTTTCTGGGCTGGGCTGCAGGGGCGGAGCTCACACGCCCCCGGGCAACCCCTCTGGCCGCCAGCTCTGAAAACCACCTCTTTCCACTCACTTATCTTCCCTGGAGCTCTGGCAGTTCTGGGTCTCTTTCTGTTGAGCAAGTTAGTGGGGCCCTAGAAGTTTTTTTGTACAGTTCCTTACGAAGTGTCTGGATTTCTCATTAAACCCACAAAGACAGATGCAAGGATGGGAGGGCCAGGATTTCGGAAGAGGGGCCTTAACTCTTTCAGCAGCTCTTGGGTCCCCCAGAGAGCCAGTTCCCACCGTTCTCGGCTCAAGCGCCCCCTACAGGCAAGTGGTTGAACAGGTGGATGCCAGAGCAGGACAGGACCTGGGCTGTAGCTCGAGTTCTGTCCCTGACCAGTGTCCGCTTGTCTGGGCTACGGGCTTTCTCTCTGCACATTGGAATAAATGGAAAGGAAGGGAACCTAACATTTGTTGATCACTTACCATGCACCAGCTTCTTACATTTTCATTTAGTCCCAGGCTAGGAGAGACCGTAGGCACACGGCTAGGCTGGGGGGGTTATAAGCAGGAGGCAGACCTGGCTTTCCTGGGCACCTGGTCCCCCATTTCCATGCCGGGGCGTTGGAGGAGCCCAGCAGCAAGGAGGGAGCTGGAGGGTCGGAGCCCCTTCTCCGACTCCCCCTGTGCCGCCCCCCGGCCTCCCGGGGGCCTGGCCCTGCCTGCTCCTCCCCACTCCGGCCCCTTTCTTCTGTGTCCTTTGTGAAGCCACCAGGGACAGAAACTGAAGCAAAGTGACTGAACTTACCTGGAGCTGATCCTTTCGGAGAGTGAGCGCGTCCGTCTGTCCGGCCTCCTGGGGCTGGAGGACTTGGGTGGGGGGGAGAGGGGCAAGGGTGTCTACTGAGGGTGTGCGGGTCTGTGCCAGGCCGGCGGCCCGCCCCCGAATTCCTCACCAAATATCGTGAAGAGAGGGGGCTGAGGAGCCGTCGCCTGGCTTTCTGGGCTGGGCTGCAGGGGCGGAGCTCACACGCCCCCGGGCAACCCCTCTGGCCGCCAGCTCTGAAAACCACCTCTTTCCACTCACTTATCTTCCCTGGAGCTCTGGCAGTTCTGGGTCTCTTTCTGTTGAGCAAGTTAGTGGGGCCCTAGAAGTTTTTTTGTACAGTTCCTTACGAAGTGTCTGGATTTCTCATTAAACCCACAAAGACAGATGCAAGGATGGGAGGGCCAGGATTTCGGAAGAGGGGCCTTAACTCTTTCAGCAGCTCTTGGGTCCCCCAGAGAGCCAGTTCCCACCGTTCTCGGCTCAAGCGCCCCCTACAGGCAAGTGGTTGAACAGGTGGATGCCAGAGCAGGACAGGACCTGGGCTGTAGCTCGAGTTCTGTCCCTGACCAGTGTCCGCTTGTCTGGGCTACGGGCTTTCTCTCTGCACATTGGAATAAATGGAAAGGAAGGGAACCTAACATTTGTTGATCACTTACCATGCACCAGCTTCTTACATTTTCATTTAGTCCCTTGGCCACCAACGGTCTACTTTCTGTCCCTATGAATTTGATTATTCTAGGGACCTCACGTAAGTGGAACCAAACAGTATTTGTCTTTTTGTGGCTGGCTTATTTCATGTAGCACGATGCCCTCAAGATTCATCCGTGTTGTAGCATGTACCAGAATTCCCTTCCTCCAGTGTCCTGTTGTATAAATACGCCACATTCTGGTTAGCCCTCTCTCCGTTCATGGACACTTGGGTGGAAGAACTGTCCATCTTAGCTGTTGTGAATAACGCTACTATGAACATGGGTTTCAAATATCTGAGACCCCGATTTTAATTATTTTGGATACATACTCAGAAGTAGAATCGCTGGATCATATGGCAATTCCATTAAAAATTTTTTAAACCACTATACTTTTTTCCATACCAGATGCACCATTTTACATTTTCATCAACAGAACAAAAGGGTTCAAATTTGAAACACTCTTTATTTAAAATAAAAACGATTTAGAAAGCCTCAGATTTGAATTTGAAGAATTTAGGTGTCAAGTTAGATAACACTTTTGGTTACTTTACAGGTTTGAGCTGTGTAGGCTCAGAAAGGTCTTTGTCAGGGATCCACTCTGCAGATTTATGAAGAATTTTTAAAAGCGATTAAGCATAATGAATGGGCTTTTGCCCACCACCTACTAAAAACTAGATGATTTACTTATGTATCTTACCTGATGATCACAGTAGGTATTTTTGTGTTGAAAACAGGGACTTAGAGGTGTAGAGTGGCTCACCAGAAAGTAAGTGGTAAAACAAGGATTTGAACCTTGATCTCTGTGACTTGAATTCTCACATCCAAAAGTCAGAGCCCTGGTGGAGTGGAGGGGGTGATGACCACCCTGTCACGGGTGGACTCAATTGATACACAGCCTAGTCTGCTAGAATCTGGGGACAGGGGACAGAGTGTACAGAGGAAAGGGAGTTCCCTGCTATACAGGGCTTCTCTTCCTGGCCTTGCGTATATTTCATTTTGATTTAATAAATATGAGAATGTACTCTGTGCCTGACAAAATAGAGCAGATGTATATGCAGCGAACTCTAATCTCAAGAATGAGGCGTAGTGGCCTCAACATGAGGATAAATAATGCATGGAACTGTCTCATTATTTTTGAGTCCAAAAAGTAGTCACTTTTCAATGGAAGACACTGGTTCTGGCAACTGAGCCGGAGAGACACTTCTTATATGGGCCTATGGGAACATCCACCCAACAGATGTTTACTGTTTAAAATTCCAGCATGATGAATAATACTGCACTTACTAACCACAAAAGTCAGTAGAGTCTGGGGCTTAAACAGTGATTGGGATCCTTTCCAACAAAATTCCACCAAGAAACCCAGTATCTCCATGTGGGTTTTTGACCATTTAGAAAGCAGTAAAATTTGCACTGAGTCTTTAGTCATCTGTCCTGTTTCAAGGTAGGCTTGGGAGGAAGAAAGGAGAGAGGAGATGATTGGGGTCAGGTCAGAGGCAGCGTTCTGGGGAGTCATGCGCTGTTCAAAAGTTCCTTTGCCAGCGGGTTCTGATCCCCATCTTGACGACTGCTGTTTTGTTTGCCTGGTTCCTGGATCTAGGCCCTCTGAGCTTGGCTTCAATATGGGAAACCAAGTGGGGGATCCCGATGTCCCCCAGATTGCTGAAGGAGGTGCTTTCTGGGAGGTGTCAAGCCAGCACTGCCCGGGCACCAAACTGCAAGCACATTAAAGAGAGAGGCTGTGTTTTCATTTCTGTAGCACCCATGCCCATTGTGTGCCTTCTTATCCTGGGCATACACTGCCTGGAGCTTAGTAGGTGATCAGTAAAGGATTGTGAAATGAGTTGTATTTTTGTCTCCTGGCAAGGTATGCCTGTCTTCAGTACCCAGTGTGGGGTGCAATAACCACCACCACGCAGGCCAGGAAAACCCTTAGGCCTTCAGGCCAATTAGGCTTTCTGGGGGTTCAGACCACTGCAATTTCCTCCCCACGCAGAAAAGTACAGGTTAAGTCACAATCACTAGGTAAAGTTGATCACCTCTGACCATGGACCCACCCTGACTGGAAGGGACAAAGTGCCTGAGGATTCAAATTCCCACCAGCAAAGACACAGTGGAGCTCCTGTGGCTGCCAGACCCTTTCTCTTCATCCCCCGCAGGCCTCAGCAGGCTGTGTTTTTATTACAGACCCTGCTCCCAAACAACCAGGAGATGGGGGGTAAGACTGGACGTCCACGCAAGCAGAATTAATGAGTGGGATATAAAGAGGTTGGAAGAAAGGTCATGATAACAAACCTAGGCCCCCCTGCTGGCCCACCCTGAAAACTCTTGACGCCAGACGGGTTGTTTGCCAGTCTGATGCTTCAACAGATCAGCTGGGCTACACTGGCCCTCAACAACGGCATCCCAAGGCTTCCAAGGGAAATGTTTTTCCTGATCCCCTTGGCACTGAAGGGTCATTAGCAGTCCTCACCGTGGATCGTCTCCTCTCTCCGGAAGGATGAGACAGAGATGTTGGATCTGGAGGGAAGACTTGTTTTCTTTTGAATGCAGGAAGAAGACCTCAATTTTCACATTCTGGGAAACGCATTGAGGGCTTCAGAATTTCCTCCTCACAACTCTTTAAAAACAAGACACAGAACAACCTTTCTCTTTTAATGGATAGCATCTCTTATTGTTATTGTCTAATTACTGTGTGGTTGGTATAATTAACATGATGATGACATGATGGATTTCAGAAGACCAAATTCTAGAAAGTATTAGTGTATTTGAATCAGGCAAGGGGCCTTGGTTCAGGGAGTGATACCTAAACGGGGAAGGGGGCAGAAGAGATACCTGAAATCTGAAGCCTGGAGGGTTTGGTCCGTTAGTGACTCGGTACATGACATCCACCTTTGTTCTGCAAGTGGGCTAAGGACTAAGAACAGACTGTGCTGTTGCAGAGGACTAATGGGAGATAGATCAGTTCCCAGGATGCTGGCTCCCGTCTGATGGTTACCCGGCTGTAGGTGAGACCAGGCCTAGATATTAGCTCTAAAATACTAGCTATCATTTCTGAGCTTCTCACCACAACCCTAGCCAATAGGTATTATCATACCTTATTTTTACAGATGAGGAAATGCTAATTAATTTGTTCAAGACTGCATAGCAACTAAATGTCAGAGCTGGGATTTTAAACTTCTCTGCCCCCTTCTAGAGTCTGAGTTCCTAACCACCACTATATGTATTCAGAATCTCCAGTGTAAAGGAAAAAGCATGAGTTTGGAAAAGATACATGTTCAGAGTCCAGGGCTACTGCTGTTGTCTCGGTGACTTTGGGCTCATTGCTTCAGCATCAGTGAGACTCAGCATCCTCATTTGTAAAATAGGGGCAGTCGCCCTAGCCTCATGAGATCTTGGGAGGGCCAAATGAGATGAAGAATACAGGCTCCTAGCAGGGAGCCTGCCACAGGTGGCCCTTCAATAAATGGCAGCCACCTTTGGTTATTTTAATAGGTTGCAAGCTCCCTGAGGAGGGAGGCAATGTCATTGTGCCAGTCAAGTGTCTGGCATGTATTAGGCCATTTCTAAGCATTAGTTGAATAATGAAAGATGAAGAAGATGGATTTTACTATGGGGAATAATCTACGGAGGTAACTTAAACCAATCACAGAGAAGCTAGCTAAGGGTCAAGGTGGGACTTTCAGTGGCTGGAATTATCGAACCCCCCCTCCCAGGGAATGGCAAGAGAGGTAACTGCAAAGTCAGGGTAGAACTCTCTACAAACTTTCCATGTTTTATAGAAAAATGTCTTTGGGGGATAGATAGGGAAATATTTTACTTACCCAGGGGGTAATGGGAAAGGTCAGGATCTGAGAGCCACGAACAGAGCAGAGAAGATGCCCCACCTTCTCAGACAGGAGTTTAAGAATCAGGTTTGGGGTGGGGAGATGGCTTAACAAGAATGATACATAATCAGTAGCACCTTTGGGGTGGGGAGATGGCTTAACAAGAATGATACATAATCAGTAGCACCATTCTGAATCCCCTTGGGCTGAGGAAAGAGGTTAGCTCCTACCTGGGGATGGACAGGGCTAATTCCTCAAAGCAAGAACTAGTGACATGGGCCTATCCAAAGGTCTAAGGACTTGGATCTAGTTCTATTAGAGTTCAGTGAAATCTAGGAAGAATAGTCCTTAATAATGGGTGAGATGTTTGAACTCTAGTTTATTCTATTGTCTGCTTAACTCTGTATGATCCCTGCAGTACAGCAATAGTTTAACAAACAGAAATAAATAAGGAAAAGCTCTTAAAAACAGAAAGGGGTTTAGGAAAGGCAGTGTACTGTTATCTTGAAAAGGGCACGTATTTTGAGTCAGGCAGAATGGCTTTGAATCCCAGAAATCTGGAACATGTTCCTTAATTTTCTTGGTCCTCAGGTTCCTATCTATAGAATGGAAATGGTTAACGCCTACCTCATTAGGTGGTTTTAAGCCAATTACAATTAGCATAGCACCTGGTACATGGGAGACACTTAGAAAAAGTGACTTCCTTTTCTTATCTTGGGTGTTTGTCCAGGAACTAGTTGGTGGGGTAGAAAGGAGGCCCTATATCCTAATCTATGGGAAGGTCAGAGGGAAGGTGATTTTTGGAGGAATGTTGGTGGTAGCAGCTTGGGAAGAAAACAGACTAAATACCTG